TCGAAATAAATAAGAAATTTATGTGTGATTTATTTAGTTATTGAAAAATAATCAGTACAAAAAAATGATGAAAGTCCAATGGAACCAATAGAATTATTACAACGATAATTCTCATGGACATTTCAATGTTATTATTTCTGTTAAAATTTTTCAATGGATTCCAATAGAAATTGTAAAAATATTCCGTTGGAATGATTTCCATTGGAATTTCAGTTGGATTTTGACGATTCCAACGGTGGATTTTCTAACAGGGGTGGAAATAAAAATTCGAACGAAAATTTCAAAGGTAAAAGGCAGTTGGAAATACAGCCGTTGTAATTAATCATCAAATTTCATCTAAAATTTTAATAAAAAACACATTAATTCCAACGGGAACCGTTCAAATAGAAGTTATACCATTGGCATTTCAATTGGAATATATTATCATAGGATTTTTTTTGTTGGAATATAGCAATTTTTTTTTTTTTTTTTTTTTTGTAGTGAATATTAAGGGCATGCTTGTTTATGGATTTTTTCAATCCAATTTTTTCAACTCAAATATTTAACTCAACTTTAACTTAACCCCACTATCTTTAATATTATTCATACAATTAAATAATAAAAACCAATCATTCTTACACATCACATCAACTTTAATTCACTATTCATCCACTCACATAATTTTAACTATCAATCATTTCCAATCATTTATCTCCTACTTTATATCAAATCAACTTTAATCATTTTTATTTTAAATATTATTTTAATATATTTTTTAAATTCCACTAACAATTAACCACATTACCTTTTCAACTTTAACTATAGTTAACAAAATGAAATATTTTGGTTGAAAAAATCCATAAACTAGCGCCCCCTAAACTAAGTTACTCTTTATTAAGTTGGTACACTTATTTTTGGAGGCAATGTAATACAATAATTAATTTATAAAACTATATGTTGTGAATTGCTTGATTTTCATTTGATTTGCATCAAGATATAGGCTAATTAATCTTAATTACTCAACCTAATTATCCTAACCTAGGTATCAATAATCAACTAAACTCATTGTGCAATGTTATTTTTTTCATTCCAAAATAATTTAAAGAATAGAAAAAATGAGAGGACGCTATGCTTCATTCATTTTCAATAGATAATTGATTAAGGCATTTTCAACTAACTTTTGGCTTTAAGTTTGGTACTTTTGTGTTAAAATACTTATGTGTTGAAATATTAGTTTCAATGAAATTTACGAGCATATGTACGTCTCATTACTTTATTCTCTTTTCCTTTTTTTTTTATTATACTATTATAATTTAATATGATTATAAAACATTAAAGTTCAAGAAAGTTTGTTCACTCAAATTGATCCTACATTCCACTAAGTTTTGTCTTAGTTATGTGTGGTTGATGGTATAACTATATATTTGCAATGAAAAAGAGAATTTTATTTCTCACTAATGAATTTGATTTATGTAACAATAATTACATGATTTTGAAGTAACATGAGACAAATTTTAACTTTTTTTTTTTTTTTTTTGGTACAAAGAAGGAGGCCAATGGCCCAGAACTACGAATCTAAAATTCTACGATGGTAGACCACGCCACGAAGATCATGATCAAGTCAAGCTCCCGACCCAGGGGGGTGTCGAAGTAACATGCAATCCTAACGACTCGGAGGCCGCTAGATCTGCCATATGATCCGCCGCAAAATTTGCCTCTCGATGCACATGCTCAATCCGTAAGATCCAATCTCTGCCCAACAATTCTCTAATCGCTCCAACAAGAGAGTCATGGACGCCAAAGTTTCTATCGGTTTCCATTATCATCTTCATTACACATTGGCTATCAACTTCGGCGACAACTTTCCGGAAACCCCTCTCCCACGCTAATTGGAGTTCTTGGAACAACCCCCACAGTTCAGCCCTGGTAATGGATATAGATATCTATTTAGAGCTTGTGAAGAAACGATGACTTCAATATCTATTTAGAGCTTGTGAAGAAACGATGACTTCGATAAATGGTGAACAAAATCATATTATTAAAGTGTAAAGTTTCCTTATGAAGATTACTAATCAGACATACAAAAGTTACAGTGACAAAAGGCATCTCCATATATATAATTTTCGAATGTGCTGATCTTAAGTGACATACTCTTGTGCTTCGAGATCCTATGTGGCTCAATTTCATGCTTCATTATTTGACTTGGATAAATTTTAATTTACTTTACAGTCCAAAAATTAGGTTCAAATTATCCATATATATGTTGATTATTTATGGTCATTTTAGATGTATTAATTGCATTTTAATATCAATTCCTATTAATGAATTGTAATGTATTTTAAAAGTTGATAATTTTTGTATTTCTTATCAATTTTACTTATATAATATATCAAATTAATCATTTTTTGATGTTTCTATTTGACATGCATATTGTATGTATAAGATAAATAAATTACATTTATATTTATAATAATAATAATAATAAATTATTTATTAATATTAATTATAAAAATAAAATTACTTATCAATTCATATATTATATTTAAAGTAGTTATATGGTATAAGTTAAAAAAAAAAATATTATAATATAACTCTGGTAAGTCGCACAAGAACAAGTGTTATGCCAAAATTATAATAACTATATATTTTGTAAAAACTATTTAAATTTCAAAAAAAAAAAAATTCATTAATTTTAAAATTTAAGAATAGATTTTTTAACCAGCAGTATACACGTGTGTTGTACTATCTCCTTATATATAATTGCAGAATATGTTGAGCCTAAGTGACAGGCTCGCATGATTCGGAATCCTACTTGGCGAAAAAACATGTTTCTTAGTTTAGTTTGGATAAAAAAATAATATTATTCTAAATCAATAATTTTATGTTTCAGACAGTTCAAAAATATTGAAAAACTAACTTGGTAATTCCATAATAGTTTGATTAATATTACCTTTAAGTTGTATTGGAACCTTTGGTAATAGTATTGATTGACTAATATAACGTTGATTTGTTTTGGAAGCTCTCAATTGACTCATTAATTTCCATAAAAATCTCAAATTAGCCTAATAATATAAATTTAGTTTTAAATAATTATTGTTGTTATTATTATTATATAATTTCAAAAATAATTTTTTTATCTAAGTACACGAGTATATCTTATAAATCACATCTTCTTCAAAGGGATGCGTGGGTAGGGGAATATCTTGCATATTATATCGTGGATCATTATATATAGAGATGTTAAACGGTCTTTAGCCTGACGGGCTGGCCCGTTTAGCCCGAAAAAAACAGGGTTAGGGCCTTTTTTTAGTAGCTCGTTTAAATCAGGGCTTTTTAGGCCCGAACCGTTTAAACCGAGGCCCAAATAGGGCTAGCCCGAAGCCCGCTAGGGCTAGCCCGTTTAATTTGTATATTATAACTTCACTATTCTACTTTATATGTAACTATGAGCTGTAGCGGGTTATTATGATTTTGAAAGATAATTATTAACTATTTTGTTACTCTACTTCACACCAAATTATTTAAGTCAATTAGAACGGCTAATGAAAAATACATGAGACAAAGGCCTAACACATAAATCATAGTGATAGAATATAAATTCAACATTAAGATACAATATCGTGAAAATTTTCAAAGCGTACAAAAATAAGTAGTAAAATGGTAATTATTATTAATAGTTCGAACATTTTTTTTTTCTTTTGGTAAAAACATGTCACTTAAGAGTTTGTAATGAGTGTTCATACATGAAATGTGGTTGTATATATATAGAGCGGTAAATACTAAATAGTCGTTGAAAACAATCGTGAATTAGCCGTTGTAATTTTTATTTATATGTTTATTTATATATTATTATTTTAGCCCGTTTAGCCCGTTTAGCCCGAAGCCCGCTAGGGTTAGGGTTAGGTCCTTTTATTGGTAGTCCATTTAAATCTTGGCTTTTTAGGCCCGGACCGTTTAGCCCGAAGCCCGTTAGGGCTAACCCGAAACCGCCAAGGCTAGCCCGTTTAACATCTCTAATTATATATAGTCTCGCTCACCTGCCCACGGTGGACAGGCCCACCACTTTATTTTACATGAAAAACGTATTCTGAGAATACATTTTTCAATTAAATTAATTGAAAAATGTATTCTCAGAATACGTTTTTCATGTAAAACAAAGTGGTGGGCACTGCCCACCGTGGGCAGTGGATCAAAATTGTCATTATATATCCATCTTGTAAGATAGAGACTTTGGCGATAAAACGCAGTCATTTTATCACTTCGCTTAATGGGCCAGTGCTGCAATATGCAACCCATTTAATCATTTTTTACAAATTAAACAAAGTATTGTTTATAGTCCACTAGTAATGTTCCCCTACCGACGGTGACGGTGGACACATATTAATATGTCCACAGTTTATATGACATGCACACATTGATAATATTAATATGTTAAAAAAATACATTACCAACGTGTACATGCTACATAAGAGTTTGACATATTACATATATCACCGCGGGTAAGGAGCATTACTCTATTTACTCTATTGTTCACTTCGAATTTTGGTAATCCAAATAGTTGTTGAGTGTACTACTTTGCACCGTAGAAGTGAACAGAAAAGTGTTCTAAAGGCACGCCAAAGTTGACCTCTTACGGTTGACCCCACCCTCTCATTATGTTATACAAATGTAATATATTATTTTCTCTTATTTTATTTAGTGTCGTTTTAATAAGTTGTACAATTATTAAAAATACTTTTTTTGCTAATAATAATCTTTATTAATGAGGATAGAGATGAATATTTTGAGAAAAGATGAAGAATGAATATGAAAAAAAGTAGTGTATTTATTAGCTAGATGAAAGTAATAATAAAAAAATTTGTAACGACATTTATTTTGTTAATAGTTAATAATGTGATAATTACGAGATAGTATGTAATTGCTCACCTCACCTTAATAGTTAATAGGTAGAATAAAGCAGTTCCAAACTTTCAACTGTTAAAGACAAACAGATAAACCATTTCAAATCTCAAACTCGATCCATGGCTACAAATACAAACGCCAATGCTCTGCCCCTCAATGGCCGAGTAGCGATAGTCACCGGAGCTTCCCGCGGGATCGGCCGTGCAGTTGCTATTCACCTCCGCTCCCTCGGCGCCAAGCTCGTTATCAACTACTCTTCCAATTCCAGCCCAGCCGATCTACTGGTTTCCGAGCTCAATTCCGGCGCCGATCCGGTCTCCATCTCCGTCAAAGCCGACGTATCGAACCCGGACGACGTCAAATTGCTCTTCGATCGAGCAGAGCAGGCCTTCAACACCGCGGCTCACATCCTCGTAAACTGCGCCGGGGTTCTAGATCCGAAATACCCAGCCCTAGCCGACACGGCGGTCGAGGTCTGGGATGCGACTTTCGGCGTGAATGCCAAGGGCGCGTTTCTAACCTGCCGCGAGGCGGCGAACCGATTGGCTCGAGGCGGCGGCGGGAGGATTGTCCTGGTATCGACCTCGGTTGTGGGGTCGACGCTGCCTGGATACGCGGCGTACGCGGCATCGAAGGCGGCGGTGGAAACGATGGCAAAGATCGCAGCAAAGGAGCTGAAGGGGAGTGGGATAACGGTGAATTGTGTGGCGCCGGGGCCGGTGGCGACGGAGCTGTTCTTTGCGGGGAAGACCGATGATGTTGTGCAGAGGATGGTGGAGGGGTGTCCGATGGGCCGATTGGGAGAGCCCAATGATGTGGCCGAGTTAATTGGGTTCTTAGTTACTGATGGTGGGGAGTGGGTTAATGGCCAGGTCATTCGTGTCAATGGTGGACTTGTTATTTAAATCAAACTTCAACTCAACTTTTCATGTCGAATGTCTGAAGATTTGCAATCAATAAAATACATTTGAGAAAAAAAAAAAAACAAATGATCAATGTGTAATATTAGAATGATATGTGCTTTTCCTCGTTAATCGGCAATGGTGATGTCTTCGACCCGTTTCTTAATCAAATCAAAATCTTATGTGTGGACATTAAACCATCCCTTCTCAGCGCGGAAGGACAATAAATTGATTGCATGTTTTCAGTTAAAATGTCAATAATGACATGTTCCTTGGCAATGAGCCCCAATGGTGTTGATATTAGATTGTTGTGATGTATATTAAACTCCAACGAAAACCAACTACAACGCAGTCACGGGCCTAACCAACAAAACTGGGTAGCTCCAGCAACGTCGGCTTAGTCATCCTGCTGGACTTCTTATTAATTGAATCGAGGCCCTCAAAGGCCCCCAACTCATGTAATAATAACAAAACTATGGGTATATATGTAGATAAAAAGTTTCTAACAAGACCATATTTGATTCTAACTTTTAGAATGTTAAAGCAAAACATGTATAAGCACTTGTGTTCCACAAGACTCATGCTTCTCAAGGGAAAATGCCTGAATTTGCAATTTGCATGGAAGATGGTCAAAGGCGCTTGTTATGTACTCACCACACTCGATCAACAAAACTTTAAAGACAACCAAGAGTGGCATAATGTAAGAATTTGCACATCCAAGATGCTCAAAAAGATTAACCGGCTATAGTTCTTGGATGACTATATCTATCTCATGGGCAGAAGAAACTACGATCAAAACACAACCACGTTGTACAGAGAGAACTCATTTTCAATCATCGACTGCTGGAATCCAAAACTACCTGTGAATCTCGGCCATCAAAGGACGAACCACAGGTCTGATGCTCGAATCACCTTTTCCCAATTTTCTACTCTTTTCCGGATTTGCAGGAGCTTTGAATTTGGACCCCATTAGAGCAGCCATCATTTGCTGACCTCTCAAACCAGGCATTCTCCTTCTTATTAATGAGTAAGCTTGCTTTGTTTCTGCATCATCCATATCTTTCTCAAGGTGCCTCTTGCAAGCTACTGTTTTCAGATGGTCACGTGGAATCATGATACCTGCATCTGGAAATCCAACACCAGAGTTCAGATTCACATAAAAATAGACATTCACGGGGTAATTCAAGAACATGCTTCAAAGATGATGGTTTAAAAAATTACCAGTTGGGTCCTCTCTGTAAACCTCCGGACTAGGAGATCTCGGACAGTTTTCTGAAGGGTTGATCTGATTATTTGCAGCACCTCCTCCTTCCTCACTAGGTCTGTTTAGCTTTTCACAAAATGTGGACGATACCTCTTTTGGGGCGTTGGGAGAAGGTATGTCTAAAGAAGGCCCTGCACATGGCTGTGCTTCTAAAGTAGTCGTCCCATGAGGATTATCATCAATTTTTTCACTGGTCTCCAAATTATCATGCATCTGTACACCATCTGTAGTCTCATTGTTATTGTCATCTTCCCGTAGTTCTGAACCAACATCACAGCTCACTTCATAACAATCACGAGAAGATTTTTTCTCCGAACTAGGAGACGGTGGGGAGGTGTATACTTTATCTAAGACTGATTTGGGTGTGTCCACTGCTTTTGAATCTAGGCTAAAGTACTCTTGAGTTTCGACAAAATTTGAAAACCAGGTTGTATCCTCTTTTGCATAGTACAGAATGTATGCCTCTTGAGATAGCACATAATTTTCAGTGACAGGCACAACCTACACAATTGAGAAGATAAAACATCAAGGTCATCCCACAATGGTACTCAAGAGCAAACAAAAGAGCAGGAAAAAAGAGTTTGAAGTACAGATATTACCCTTGAGTCATCAAACTTGCACCACATGCCAGGAGATAGGCGAATGAAGCAATAGTAGTGCCCAGATGTCGGTGTCAATCCAACATGCACCACAACAGCATGTAGTACATACTTAAGTTCCATCTGCAAAGCTCACAACCAAGTATGATTAGATCAAAACCCGTTTAATAAACAATATCAAATGCAGAATAAAGAGGTTAATCAGAAGATCACGCCAACGCCACAAAGACATGGAACCAATACTCCCTTTCAAAAACAAACAAAACAAGTTCTTCTAAAAATGCATTTTAGTTTGCTAATTATCAATTAGTACAAGTTTTTACCATCAAATAACTACACAAAATACATTATTCTCGCATCATATTAAATGAATATGCTTTTTCACATGCTTAGAAAAGGGTAAGCAGCATTGGGAACTCACACCGATGTCATTGCCGCCTAACATGAAAGGCTGCAAGTCCAAGTCTAATGGAAACTCCACGTGTTTATCAATTTTATTAACAAAGCAACCATCACTTTTGAATCTCTTCAACTGAAACAGGGCCACTGTTGGGGCCTGGTCAAAGGAAAGCTTCTTTTCTATGGATACTTGCTCCTTACACTCTTCACATGTAAACTTGGTCTCCAGATCTTCAATTATTTCAACCTTTGTAAACGACTGAAGAGCCGTCAAAAGGTTGTCTGCATCCTCAATTTCCAAACTCAGGTCAATCAATGGCTCATAAGTGTCAGAACAGTGGCCACAGCTACAACACTTCAGCTGCAAAATTAGTGGGAAAAAAAAAAAGTAAGTGATGTGATATGGTACAATCTAAGTGCAGAAAGATAAATATAGATTTAAAAATGAGCTCCTACTTTGCTGACAAGACGGCCGCCAAATATTTGCTTCACCATGTTATTACTATGTGAAGACACATGACAGCTTTCAAGCCTATCCAGAAAGCACTGAAGGAATTCATGAGCGTCTTCCTGTTGAAACCTTTTGAAGCCTGACGAAAAATCTGGTAATTTCACAAAGTCAAGGAATTACAAAGTAACGAAATGATTCTTGAAGTTTCCAAGACCAAAGCCAGTGGTCATACTTTTGAACTCCAACCAATTTGCTGATCCAAAATGAGAGAGGATATAGTATAAGTAAAGTATCACTTGCAAGAATCACAAATAGACAATCTATATTGCAGCAGCAACAAAAATCTAACAGAGTGATGTCAGGGAGGATACAGCTCAAGTTGTTCACAAGACCCAAAGGCGAAACAGGTCCGTTTCTCCTCGTCAGCGAATGATTAATGAGCAACCGCACAGCACATAATAAGCAAAAACTTTCTTTATCACCTGAGAGATGCATGCATTTGCAGGGGAAAAAAAAATCAATATCCAATTAAAGCATACCTAATGAACCACACAGATCATAAAAATTTTTAAGCAGCATAAATTTATTCACCAACGACCCGAGCAAACAATGATGACATCAATATACTTACAATTAGAATGTTTATCCGAAAGAATGCCGTGGAGGAATGGGACAGTGTGGAGAAAGCATTGCATCACTGCATTCAGGAAGCAAGTATTTCCCAAATTTTCCAGTCCTGCTCCCTGTCAATACTTCACCATAAAATTGGGAAAAAGGAACAGACAACATACTGACAGCAGCACCTAAAATCAACCAACGAAAGTAAATAAAAATCAACGAATAATCAGTTCTTACCACAATTGCGGTAGGCTTGTCGTCGCGGTCCAGGCATCTTGAATAATAAGGATTTCCAGCAAATTTGTCATCGCGGTCCAGGCATCTTGAATAATAAGGATTTCCGGCAAATCTGTCGTCGCCGTACAGACATCTTGAATAATAATGATTTCCAGCAAATCTGTCATCGCCGTACAGGCATCTTGAATAACGAGGATTTCCAGCAAATCTCCATGACCTCGGCGCAAGCCAGGGAGGTGGCGGCCATCGATATCCAAAACGATTTCTCTCGGCGCTTCTCCCATAGAAGTCCTCATCGTCGCCGTCTGAATCAGTTCCTTCGGCCTCACTCTCGCTTTCTAACACAGGGGCATCTTCTTCTTCTTCTTCTTTTTCTTCTTCTTCTTCTTCCTCTCGTTTGTTCGATTCAGGCAACGATTCTTCGCACAACGTCGGAAGATCGTCGGAGGTCATGGATATGCCGGCCATCTAGGGTTCCGACTACGATTCCTGTGTCGCGGAAAAACCAGTTATTAGGGTTTCGACGGGAAAATTGAGAGGTTTGGAAAGGGAGGGAAAAGTAAGGAAAGAGCGGATGAATGAGAACGAAATCGAATCGCGCGAAGGAGATAAATTTATGAGGGGATTGAAGTTAGGGTGGTGAAAAATATATATATATTATATATATATATATATATAAAAGTGAGGGGGAACATATGGGACAATTATAGGCCCCGATTTGTTGCCTAATTGGGATTGATAAAAAAAATATGACACCGCTTTTATTTCCTTCCTTTTATTACAATTTTTATATAATTCCATTTTTAACAATATAATATAATATTAAGGCATCTTTAACAATAATATTATACTTATTCTTACTCTTACCCTCGTGAACCTCCAATAATATTATACTCTTATATTTTTAATAATATTATAAAAAAATATAATTCCACTTTTATTTAATTCAGTCCAAATATGTCAATATATTTATCATAAATTCATACCCAAACATAATAGAACTATATTAGATTATTTATAATTATATGGATTATTAATTACGTACTGATTTAATGTTTTACTTAAGTACATATCGAAGCATAAAATTATAATAAATTATATTTTATTTATAATTTTGTGAACAAAGACGAGAGAAAAAATTTCCAAAAGGAGACATAAAGAAATTCAATAAAGTAGCATATAACATTTGTTAATATAATTATAAAATAAATAAAGGAACTAAATATAATATTATTCTAAAATAATTTAGATTTTTTTACCGTCACAACCATTAAGAAAAGAATTAAAATTTATTTTTATTGCAAACAGTTGTGTTTTACATGTTCCAGGAATAAGATATTAATTGAAAAACAAATTAAATGAAAATCTATATCTATATATCTATATAAAAAGAATTGCTATTTAATAAAAATAGTAATCCAAAAATTTAGGAAAGCTTTTATTACATACTATTTTAAATTTTTTTTGAAGAAAAAATTATTTAGGAATTAATTTGAAGTTTTATCCAAATTATTTAGGAATATGTTTAAAGAAACGTGCCAGATTGGTTTAAAATTTGAGATTTGAACGGGTTACACCAATCAAATTCATTCAAAATCTATTCACCATTTATGCCTTGTCCAACTCATTTTATTTTGATTCCTTTTTCAAATCAATTGAAAAATCGTGCAATCTTTTCAATAATTGAAATTAATTATTTTACTATTTGTTAAGTAAATTCGTGTTAGTTTTTTTCTTTTAAAAAAAAATCATATTTCCCTATGATTGATCAACCTTTTCAGAAATGATCTTTCCTTAAATAAGTTAGCATTTAATGCAACTTATAAATAGTAAGTTTCATTAATTTTATTATTATTTTCTTTAAAAATCATACAACATTAAATGTTACCTTCAATTTTGGGCTTTAGTTTATTTTCTTATTTAAAAAATATGGCTAAAATTTTTTAAGTGTGCATGTTTTTATTTTTATTTTTTTCTTAGAAACAAGGCACAATATTAAAATCTCGGTCTGTGTATTTATAAAATCTCAATTCCAAATATAAAAAAAAAAATAAATTAGAATCTCAATCTTTATATTTGTTCCTTTAAAAAAAAAAATATTGAATGCTAAAAAATAATTTTTAAATTGATAATCAATCAATTAATATTAATTTTTATTTGAAAATTACTATGTTTATTTTTTTATTAATATGCATAGTAAAAAATTAATTCATCTTTAGATATATATATATATATATATATATATATATATATATAATTTAAAATCTTAATATACTATCATTTGGTGCATACATTTATTATATGAATCATAAATTATTTTTATTTCATAAAATTAAATATATTTACAGAAAACAAGAAAATTTCTTTGCATCAAGTGGGTGATTGAATTAGGGTATTGTCCAGGTTGATTGAACTACTTTTAGGTGAAATTTAAGATAGTAAAAAAAAAAAAAAAAACTTGACACAACTTGGTTAGTCTCATGTGATCAAGTTATGTATCAGTCTGACCAGACCAAATCGATTATTGAACCTAAATATAAATTTTAATATTAAAAATACTTTATTAAGTGATTGTGATGCAGTCCAGACTTCAAATAATCATATTAACAATACTTTTATGACAACAAGTTTGATAATTTATAACTATTTATATATCATTTTAGTAATATTTATGTGAATAAAATAATATTTTATTATAATTTTTATTGATGTACAATAAATATAAGGTCTTTAGAACCAGACCGCCATCGAAACGATCAAGTTATTTTGTAAAATCACTTGTGGTTTCTTCAGATTTTAATTTATAAATATTTTAATATACATATATAGGATTTTTTGTAATAAATTTAAATAAAATGTGTTACTTAAATATCTAAACAATTTATAAATTCAAATGTTTAAATAAATTGATAAACAAATTATAAATCTCTATTTTATTTAAATGTGTAATTTTATTGACAATAGTTTTAAATGTAACAAAATTTATTTAGAAAATCGTACCGATCCTACCAATCTAATCGACTGGTGTTGACTGACTTAATAGCAAATACTTTATTCAACGAATTATAAACCGGTTCTTGGTCCATTCGGTCGGACTGTGTTCAACCCGGTTTAATTTAAAACAATATCTATGTTATTTATATATTTAATTTATAATACAATCGTAATATTTTTTATCCGTGCATCGCACGGGCCACACACTAGTAAAGAGAAGACAAAGGAGTGGGATGGCTCCAAGAATTAAAAATTAATTACGAAAAATGTAATAGAAATAAAGAGAAGGCAAATGAGTGGGAGTTTGGCAGGAGGTGAGTCATTCATTGCAATAAGGTAGCTAAGAGCATGTTTGGATATAAAAATACTTGGTTTAGTTGGATTTTTTGTTTGGTTGGTTAATTTTAAAAAATGTAGTATGGTTAATTGTTGTAGGTATATTAAAATAATATTTAAAATAAAATAATTAAAAAAAATTGTTGGAAAAAGAAAACACTATGCAGTTGAAGAACAAGATACGAAAAAATATACTGGAAAAAAACACATATTGTTGGCTGAAGAAAAAACGATGCGGTTGAAGAACAAGATACGGAAAAATATATCGGAAAAAAAAACAAGGACGCTACGGGTCGATCAAAAATTATGTTGAAGAACAAGATATGAAAAAATATACCATAAAAAGAAAAAAAGAAACACGAGGACTATTTTGCTCAAGAAAAAAGTTATGCAATATATACCGAAAAAAAGAATCCGTTTTCTTTTTATAAGGGCTAAAATCACTTATTTTTGTTATAAAATGCGATGAAAATAAAGAACACAATGTACAAACCGGATCAAAATTATAAGGAGCTTTATTCTTTTCACTTCTTTTCGTACAGAAATTTCACTACATCTCTTGCCCTTTTATAGCCAAAATTGGCACACATTTCAACACACTTAATAATATAAAATGACAATGATAAGATTTATAGTAGTGGTAAATTCCACTTTACATAACACTCCCCCTTGGAATTACCACTATTAAATGTGCGTTTATGCTGCCTCGTTAAAAACCTTATCTGGAAAAACCCCGTGGGAAAAAACCGAGATAAGGAAAAAAGAGTACAGCCGCACATACTCCCCCTGGAGTTATCATCTGTACAAATCCCGAAGATGTCTCATTCCAATGTTGTGTACGTGCTTTCGAAATATTGTCGTCGGGAGTGCCTTCGTAAATAAATCTGCTGCATTATCGCTTGATCGAATGTATTGAACTTTGATTTGTTTGTTTCTTTCAAGCTCTTGCGCATATAAGAATAACTTTGGCGGGATATGTTTAGTTCTGTCATTCTTGATGTATCCTTCTTTTGTTTGAGCGACACATGCTGCATTGTCTTCGAATATCACCGTCGGGTCATTATTATTTGATAGTCCACTGGCTTGTTGAATATGTTGAGTCATGTTTCTGAGCCAGATACTTTTCCTACTTGCTTCATGAAGTGCTTGATCTCAGCATGGTTTGAAGACGTCGCAACTAACGTTTGTTTCTGAGAGCGCCAAGAGAATGCAGTTCCGCCAATCGTAAAAACGTATCCAGTTTGAGATCTTGCTTTATGGGGATCTGAGAGATATCCTGCATCTGCAAAACCGATTATTTCATGTTTTCTATCGTTAGAATAAAACAGTCCCAAATCGATTGTCCCTTGGAGATAACGGAATATATGCTTAATTCCATTCCAATGTCTCCTCGTAGGTGCCGAGTTATATCTTGCTAATAAATTGGTAGCGAAAGATATATCTGGTCTGGTACAATTAGCAAGATACATAAGAGCTCCTATGGCACTCATATATGGTATTTCAGGACCAAGTATTTCTTCATCTTCTTCACAAGGTCGAAACGGATCCTTTTCAATATCTAATGTTCGATTGACCATTGGAGTACTAAGTGGATTCGCCTTGTCCATATTGAATCGTTTCAGTATTCTTTGAGTGTAATTAGATTGATGGACAAATATCCCATTTTGGACCAGTTCTATTTGCAAGCCGAGACAATATTTGGTCTGTCCGAGATCTTTCATTTCAAATTCGCCTTTTAGTAAAGTGACTGCTTCTTGAATTTCATTTGTAGTCCCAATAATATTATGATCATCGACATAGACAGCAATTATCACAACTCCATCTTGTGATCTTTTTATAAAAACACACGGGCATATTTGATTATTTATGTATCCCCGTTTAAGCAATTGTTCACTTAAACAATTGTACCACATACGCCCGGATTGTTTCAAGCCATACAATGATCTTTGCAGCTTTATCGCACATAACTCTTTAGGTTTGGACTTTAGTGCTTCGGGCATTCTAATTCCTTCTGGAATTTTCATATAAATGTCAGCGTCTAGTGATCCATATAAGTAAGCAGTCACAACATCAATAAGACGTATCTCAAGATTTTCATGGATGGCCAAACTAATCAAGTATCTGAAAGTAATCGCATC